GCCAAGAATGGAGCTTCTCTGGCCGGCTATCTTCTCTGGCCAATTAATACCCTTTTTAGGCCGATTTCTACGATTTATTCACCCCGCAAAAGAAGTCTGGTGGAGACTAGATTTTTTGCACTATTTATTATATATAATAAGTTTGTTAAAACTATTCTGTAGTGCAGTAGTCACATATTGGAAATGTGTACATATTTCAACAGGTTATTGCTGAAACTATGAAAATTAAGCAACAGCAAGTTTCTCTATCTGTATCTGTGTAGCCGGTATAACCGCCCTTCGGCGTAACATACCAGCTTTGCAGGCACATGGCACAGTGGCAGCTGGCTACATTACACCGAACGACTTGTTACACCTAACCTTTAAATCTTACTCTAAACATTAATAATGCCCTTTGGCTACTGTACTTGGTGAGAGTTGGTCATCGAGTTGGTCACTCTACATTTCTAGGAAAGAATGAATTTTTGAACACCTCAATCCTAATGGTTGATAACTGACTGCTCCTTGAAGGCATGACTATTTCTTGCTCTTTTCTGTGCTGGTAGCAGGTACTTGGTACTTGGTGAGAGTTGGTGAAACACATATGACAGGCTGTAGTTGGTACGTCCACCAGTTTATTAGCCATTTTGTACACCATGCATAGTAGTCTGGACATTCAAGTGCTTCAAGACCTGAATGCAGGAATTCACCACTGACCTTTTGATACTGTCCTAATCTGATGTCTACAGTGTCTCTAGTCCCTTCCTCTGTGTCTTCTCCCTGTCCCTGAGTGTGAAGGTGACGTTTGAAGGGTTGAAGCAGAGCACTGGGCTTCCCTCTGCCTGACAACATGGGGGAGGGGGGCTGCAGCAGCATGGCATTGGTCACTGGACCTGAAATGGTATGTGAATAGTGCTGTGTACTGGTTCACTGGAACTACATGTATATAGTTTGGGACTTAAGTTAAGTTAAGAGCTAGGTGGTGTGTCAGTCAGCTAACGGGGCCTGGAACTCTTATTTTCAGCTTACGGCTTATTTCTGCAGCCATTATGTAGGCAAAGGTCTTAATTTACAATCGCACCGTAAAAATTCTGGGCGAATGTGTGACTAAACGCAGTCATGAGCCCTGTTATACAATACAGTTGAGTGTAAAACTTGCATGAGGACACTTATATTTTCCATATTATCAATGTTGGAAAACTAATTGTACATTTAACATTTCTTCAATCAGGTGTCAGGTCATGGAGCTAGAAAAAGGTCGATTAGCTAGAAAAATTATGCCTCTTAATTGCTGGGGTTCACCCAAAAAAGACTAGAGTCAGCAGTTTTTTGTAGAGTTGGTTGAGAAACATGAAACACATTTTTTTTCCCCAGGCCTCGAAATTAACTTTTCTTTCGATTGTCCCAGCAATGTCCCAAAAATTAATTTCAATTGTCCCGAAGTGAGGATGAACTGTCCCATTACCTGTTTTTTGGCAAGTATTGTATGACTTCAACTTGGAGTCAACCTTATTTTGCTTATGTTCACTCCCAGATGCACTATAATTGCAGAGTAGACAGAAAATGCAAGGGACATTTATGGATCCAAAAGCCAGGATGTGTGTCTGATAAACAGAAGAAAGGCTGACATTCTGATGTTGATAATTTTTCTATTGTCCCAAAAATGTCCCAAAGTGTCCCAGCCTAAATTGTTGTGGCCAGTGGCCATTGACCACCTTTAATTTTGAGCAGTGTTTCCTAGACCTGAACACCCCCCTCCCCCTTTATTTTACCTTTGTGAGAGAAGGTCCTGACACACTGCCTGCTGGGAATGTCCCACAGTCTGGCCGAGTGGTCATGTGACCCAGACAACAGCTGACTGCCGTCCATGCTGACCGACAAGCATGTCACCTGTTTACTAACAAACAAAAAATAAAATAAAATAAAATAAACAAACAAGGATGTGAAGGTAAACATTTTCAAATTGAACCACTGCAAACATTTTAAGAATTTACACTAAACCTTAAAAAGCATTTTAGGATGACTCATGTGATTATCACATCAATTTCTTTTTTAATTAAACCCTTTGCAAATGACAAAAGAAAAAACTTTTTGGGACGTAAATTTGCGATGGAATTTGAAAGTAAAGCTGTACTCATTACACCACTCTGTTGCAATGTATAAAATGATGAAAGTTGTGAATTGAGTGTACTCATACTAATGGGTGAAATGGATATTTATTATAATATCTTTTATTTGTTCTTACCCATGTCCTTTGAAAATTTGACCTTGGTCATCATCTGTGTCTTCAATGTGCTTTTCTCTCTGGACAGGCTAGCATGAAAAAATGACAAAATAATTACTGAATGTACCTTGAGTAATTAAGACGTGGACTTTTTGCAAAACAACTTTATGTGTGCATGCAAGCATTACTAGCCTTGGAGCAAGTATTTTTGCCCATCTATATCTAACTGTAACCATCCTTTGATATGACCTTGGTGACAGTCCAACAGAAAAAGCATCAAAAACACTTTCATTTAAGGCTGCTGAATCAAAAGCATTTGATTTGATTCTGCTCAATCTGGACATTTTATCCTTAGGCTAGTGGAAAAAGAGCCGTAGATCATAATAATAGTCTAAGACCACTTTCCAAATACCGGCGCCATTTTGAAATCCGCTCTCGAGATCTGATCTCGGGCTGTAAGAAACTGGTTAGTGCCGTACATTAACAATGGCATCTCCACTACAGTCATCTTCCGAGGTTAGTTATGCTCTCTATTGGCGACATCCGCCAATATTTATGCATGTCATCATCATTGTCATGAGTAGATAATATTATTGTGGACACATGAAATCGAAAAAGGGCAGTAATTTTGTAAATTTCCGTTCACTTTAAAGCTGAAATTTTGTGTTTGAAGAGAGCATCACTTCTTGAAAAGAGTAAAAGACCAAACCTTACAGTTTGGTCTTATACAGCTTGCATACAGTACAGAAATTATGTGCCACACCTAGCTAGAGAGGCACTTTACCAGTCATGCAATACAAAAGAAACAAACAAACAAACAAACAAACAAACAAGCTGTACCTGAGCGTGCAGGTTGACTTGGTGGATGTTTCCGTTGGTGCCTCCTGCAAAGAGGCGTGTCTCAGCTGTATCCATGGTAACAGAGGTTATACTGACGTCAAACGAAACTGACAGAAGGACCTGGCCTGAAGAGACTTCAAATAACTGTGGAGAAAAAAAAATTATATGTAGTTTTTTTTTACATAATTACACATACAGGAAACAAGCACACATTTTTATATCAAAATATAATATTTACTATTTTGTTTGGAAACTGTTTAGGTTTGGACCTGGCCTGAAGAGACTTAAAATAACTGTGGAGAAAAATATTATGTGTAGCTTTTTTTAGAGCATTATACAATGTACATATACAGGAAAGAAGCACACATTTTTCTGTCTATCACAATATGTACAAAATAACATAAACAAACAAAACAATAAATTAAATGTATCCAAATATTTGAAGTGTTACCTTGACTGCCTCTCCTCAAAGTTTGAATCCTAAATTGAGTGTGGTCTGCACGCAACGTCTGGCTGTAAGCGGTTGCGTGCATCGTTCGTTGCGCAAGTGGTAAGTGAATTGTACATGCTTACATCGTACGATCTCTGTGGGATTGCAACTTTACCGTAAGGAGGCTGTACTCACACGTGCGTCTTACGTACGTACGCGCGTCGCCCGTACTTGCACGAAGGGGTGGTGAATCTGCAGACCGCATGCAAAAAAAGTTTTACATGCACTTAAAGTTCTTCGGCGTGTCTGCGTGCTCCCAAATCCGTGGGATTCCGTACGAAGGTGGTACTCACCACGCACGGATCCCCTACATTGCATGTACACAGCACGCAGATGCACGTACGGGCATCTGCGTGCTGTGACCGAGGCTTAACAGTGTCAGATTTCAAAACAGAACCTAGTGTCTCTTACCTTGCAGGTCTGGTCTAGAGATGCAGACGCTGCCCTGGCCTGCAGTCCACCACAGCCACAGTACAGGTCTGTGACAGGCAGGGAGTGGTGTGACAGGGTGTGCCTGGGTTCCGGACTATGGCCTACTGCAGTACTGGCACCTGAGAGGACACTGATAGCAGAAAAAACAAATCAGTTCACTAAAACAAGTACATAAATGAATCACTTCTTCTGAATTAACATTTTCATGAAAATAAAGGTTGGACTGATTATTAGGATATAATTACAAGAAGTTCTAAGAATAGGAATGGTTCTCAAAGATGTACATGTATTAGATGCTAAGGCCTAAGGTATGTTTATTCGGGACATGAGAGTATATCAAAATGTAGAATGTATAATAGTAACATAAAAATCAGAAATATTTGATGGACATGCAGTCACTCTCTCAAGAGGCTCAGTCATTGGTCAGTCCACTAACTGCCATCTTCTCATTGGCTGAACTGCTAATGTAGTTGCGATGGACAGTGAGGATCAGTTAGCAGCACCTGACAGAAATTGTGTGACACAGGCTGGTCTCACTCTCACCTTTGGAACTACATTTAGCAGTTTAGCCAATGAGAAGATGGCAATTAGTGGATTGACCAATGACAGACTGGGTCTCACCTGTGAAGAGGCCAGACGAGGACCAGGTTGTCATCTCCGGCTGACAGGAAGTGACTTCCATCGTCTGTGAAACTGAGACAGGTCACACCCTGGTAATGTCTAGTCAGGACAGATAACAAGTTACCTGTACACACCTGCGTAAAAATACATGTACAAGACAGTATTAAAAGGAAAGCTAACAGGTTACCTGTACACACCTGTGTAAAAATACATGTACAAGACAGTATTGACAGGGCAGCTAACAGGTTACCTGTACACACCTGTGTAAAAATACATGTACAAGACAGTATTGACAGGGCAGCTAACAGGTTACCTGTACACACCTGTGTAAAAACACATGTACAAGACAGTATTAACAGGATAGCTAATAGGACAGCTACACTGTAACAGGTTACCTGTGCACACCTGTGTAAAATACATGTACAAGACAGTATTACACGGCAGTCAACAGGTTACCTGTACACACCTGTGTAAAATACATGTACAAGACAGTATTGATAGTGCTCAAACTAAAATGTACTTTTTTTCTGCATACCTGCACTGGTACCAGTGCAAGTAAATATACTACTAGAAGTAACATTTAAGAAACTCACCCGTACCAGACAAATTTTACCCGTACTACTCAAAAGTATGGATCATACCAAAATCTATTCAAAAACTTTTATTAATAGGTGGTCACAGTCAATTATGCAGAAAGACAATCAGAATACACCTTCTTGTACATGTAAGTGCATGAGGTGTGTTAGAACGTTGTACATAATATTACCTGCCAAATGTTGATCTTCTCGGCGATGCCAGCGACTACAAAGTTCCCATCAGGTGACACCGCCATGGCCGAAACCCGACCGCCACACACCATTCGCTGTTGAACATGGTCCTGGGAAGAAAAATGATCAAAATTTTCGTGACGTGCCATTTTTTTTCAAATTTTTAAAGACATGAAGACCTAATATTAGTAATAAACCACCTACCAAGTTTCATGACAATGCATTTTAAGCTTCTTAAGTTATGCTGTTCACAGACAGACAAACAAACAGACGGACAAATGCTACTGAAAACATAACCTTCTTGGCGAAGGTAATTAGGTCAAAAGTCATATACCCTGGGTGCCAGGTCTGAGAGTCTAACCCATGGGGAGTTTGGCTGGCCCTACAATTTTGTAGGGCCAGCCAAACTCCCCCTAGGCTCAACTTCCTGGAGTGGTAATTTAGATAGGCGGGTGAAGGACCTATGGCTGCCGTAGGAAAATGGCTACCGACCCTGGTATCCAGTCTGATCGTGGTCGGGGCCGAAAGAGCTCTGTCCCGCCCGCCTCACATAGGTTTCCCGGTGTGTATTTCACGAGAGATTGATTAGCCCTATACGAACATAGTGTTGGGGGGGAAACTAAATCCCCAAGCATACTGTCTCTCATTAGCGTAACTCTCCTACCGGGACGGTCTGTTGCACTGGGCGGGGAAAGCTATTAGAGCCCCCGAAGACACAACCTGCCTGAACACCCCCAATACCCCCAATCACGTAAGACTGGATACCAGGCTACTAGTTACTGTAGTAGTAGTGAGCCTTACCCGTCTCTGCAGAGCCCATACATGTATGAGCGGTTTGTTGTTAGCGGCGCTCAGCAGGTACTGGTTCCCGAGCAGACACAGGCCTCTCGGGCCGCTGCCGTCTCCCTTGTACGTGGCGAGAGTCGTGCCGGACTGAAGATCCCACAGACAAGAGCTCCACAACTGTCCAGAAGTATCACTGGTCAGCGCCGCTTCCAACACGTGGGCAGCCATTTTGGAGAGGTCACTGGACGATTACATTTTCTAAAAGGGATGAGAATTCTTAATTCTCAATTATTAAGATCCTTCGCGTAGACAGTTCATAAGACTGAAATCTAAACAGCAAATAATTAAATTTAAGTACCTACCGACTGTATGTTATGCAAAAGAATAGATTTAATATGGATAAATTAATGTTTATAAAAGTTATAAACTCTCTATATAGAAATGAAATGTTCCAATGACGTCAGAGCCAGCTGTTTGACTTTTTACGATTCCGAATCATTCAGAAGTTGTTGCACTTTGTCCCCTATTGCAAATTTACGTGGACTTTGTCCATTTTGTACTTTAAGAATCTTCACAGTAGGAGCAAACGCTGCTTGAGAAATTGTACCCAGTCTTTCTGTGTCCTATTTTGGGTAGTTCAAGTGAAATTGAGCTGAGTTTATCATATATTATTTTCCTATCTAATTTGATGAAAACGCCCACTTGAGTGTATAAAGTTGGCTCGGCGAAAAAAAGAGAGTATATTTCTTAAGTTCCAACATGGCGACAGAAGGGACGGAGAGAACCGGTCTGGTAGCAGAGGGAGAGAACTTTACTCTAGACGGAAAACCTGTACAGCTACTGAGTGGAGCTATCCACTATTTCAGGTAAAACGTTATTTTCTAACTTTTAGAATTGAATAGCTAGCCTCTACCAGCGTACTATAGCTGGAAAAATCCAGCTGAGATTTTAACAGTGGGGAGGGGGGGGGGGGTATAGGCTACCTTTTAGCCGATTCGGCAGGAGTGTCAGAGTCTATTTAGCTTAGTGTTCGGGAGGTTGTGGGTTCGAACCCCGGCCTGGGACCAGGGTTTTTTTATCTGTTTCTACTCACTCCTCCTGTTTCTTACACTAATCAGGACTTTTAATGTCTTCCAGCAAACTGACTGAGGAGCCTCGTACACACACACGCACACACACGCACGCACGCACGCACGCACACACACACACACACACACACAGACACAGACACACACACTTACACACACACAAACACACACACACACACACAAACTCACAAACACACACACTCACACACACACACACATGCACAGATATGTACTAGTACACGTCCTATATTTCTTGTATGTGACACATACAACATACAAACACACAACCAAGCAATAACCAATATAATAACTATTTGATAATAAAGTATTCTTGTGTACTCCATTTTCTCCAGGGTCCCAAGAGAATACTGGCGAGACAGGATGCTCAAGTTGAAAGCCTGTGGACTCAACACCTTGGAAACGTAATAACACAAATAATCAGTTAATTCACAAGCTTAAAGAAATGTTACACAAGCAATGGGATTAAGTCAGTTTACAAATGACAGTTTTTAAAAGCTATCCAGTTGCCTTTAGTACTCATACTTTACCTGTTTTATAGGGATAAGTTTCATAAGTTAACTTCAGTGTTAACTTAACAAAGATTGTCTATGGTGTTTTTCTGTGCTATCATGTATGAAATATATATAGTCATGTAGTGCTGTGTACCTATTAGTATTACCCCACATTTAGGTTCAGTTCCGGACTTGTAAGTCTGGACCCTAAGACAGTGTGGTCACATAACATGGAGGCCGACACTTCACGATGCAAAATGTCAATGTTTCATTTCGCAGCACAGATTTTTTTTTGTAATACTGGTAAGTCCAGAATTGGTTAATTGACTTTAATTTTTTTTTTTTTTTTACTTGAACCTAAACATTTTAAGTCCGGAACTGGACTGAACTGAACTGGAACTCTTAATTTTTTTGTATATGACAATTAATTTGTGCTGTAACCCTTTAGATGGAAACTAAAGCTCACCTCTTGATTGATTATTTATATCCACATGTAGATATGTGTGCTGGAACCTACATGAGCCGGAGAAGGGCAAGTTTGACTTCACAGGCATGCTGGACATCGCGTGAGTTGTCTTCCCTGTTCCTGAAATATGAGCAAATGCTTTTCATACGTATATCAAAGACACTAGCTTTGGCTAGGGACGTACCTCGGATAGGATGTTAAATGGAGATCCCTTGTTTGGGGAGAGCCACACCCCATGCACGTTAAAGAACCTACTGCATCTTTCGAAAAAGAGTAGTGGCAAGCCCGGTTTGCAATGGTCCAAATACTTATCTCATTATTCATATACGGACTCCAGGAAGAGTAGTGTGGAATTCACACTGAAGGAGATCCTAAACAAACTAAACTAAACCTAAACTAAACCTAAACTAAACTAAACTAAACTAAACTAAACTAAACCAAACCAAACCAAACCAAACCTAACCTAACCTAACTTAACTTAACTTAACTTAACTAAACTTAACTAAACTATTATTATAATAAATCTATACTTACAATATTTCAAGATTTGCAATCCTTTTTTTTAGAGCATATCTCCGTGAGGCAGCAAACCTTGGATTGTGGGTGATCTTTCGCCCAGGACCGTACATATGTGCAGAGTGGGACTATGGAGGTTTACCCAGGTAAATATAGAATACAACACAGGGTATTCCGTATCGCCCGAGGTATCGGCCCGACCGCGGGAGGGCCGGGACCGAGGGCGATGCGAAATACACCGTGTTGTATTTTATTTATATCATACCCACCCAAGAAAACGCGCCTTTCAATGCAATATGAGCCAAAAGTTGGTGCCCCTAAACCCTCAAATGCAACAGCATCAGTTCCAACGTCCGGATTCTGTATTCAAATTTTCGAAAGGGGCACAAGCGGTTAGGGCAAAACGCGTTCGAATCGTTTTATGGAAGCCATGGAAGCGTTCGATAACGGGTTCCGGACCGGGCCGTATCGTAAGGTACGGTCCGGTCCGGAACCCGTTATCGAACGTTATCGCGGCCAGGGTATGATATAAATGATGGTATAAAAATATCAGAACATTAATAGTACTAGTATGAACCTCCCAACTACACATGACACGCACATTGATTTTATGATATTATGCATGTTGACAAAAAAATGCAAGTTGGTGCAAAGGCCATAAAGAAGTACATGTGGTACATTTCTGATTAATTTGCTTTATTTTCAGTTCGTTTTCAATAAATTTTTTTATATTGGCATATTTTCTAGGTGTGTCAAGCCTGTGTTTTACATTGAAAAGCCACACCAATATACTAGTAATGTATTGGTTTATGGATGAAAATACAGGTTTTATGGTTCTTACTAAAATAAAAGAGGATAAAAACAAAGCCTTATTAGAACCAGGTTTATGCCTCAATTAACTTACATCTAGTTTACTGGAGTGAATGCAGTTAAAAATTTGCTGTCTGCTTTAAATTTATGATTTCCTGTTTTAACCCTTGTCCTGCTTTCATTCCTGGCACAACATTTTTCAATAATTTCATGACTTAATTAGATCATAGACCCCCAAATTTTTTTTTGCCCTGCAGTGGCATAGTTACTTCCACATTCATTGCATTTTGCTGCGGTGTGATGCGTTGCATACCCCCAAATTGTACCTATACAGGGTGGTATATGGATGGTACTGTATGTGGAGAACAGCAATTGTTGTGCTCCGCAGGACAAGGGTTTTAAGATATGCTACAGCCAAGGACATAATTACTGTAGTATGGTCATAAGTCAATAACATTTGAAGTGTTTTGTTTTGTTACATTGTGTTTTTTCTATTGTTCTCATCAGCTGGTTACTGAGAGACCCAAACATGCAGGTTCGCACCACGTACCAACCCTACATGGAGGCAGTGGAGAGGTTCTTTGATGCCCTCCTACCCATCGTCAAACCATTCCAGGTACATGTATCATAACAATGGGATGTTTGTTGGCATTTTTATTTGCATTGACAGATTTGTATGGGGCCCAATAATACATGTTGATCACTTTAAGATAAACACTAAAATTTGTATGTCAAATAGATCACTGTAAAAGGTCAGATTTATATGGTATTTCTGGTGTTTTCGTTTTGCAGTATAAAGAAGGTGGACCCATCATTGCTGTGCAGGTGGAAAACGAGTATGGTTCCTACGCTAGGGACGACAAGTATCTGACGGCAGTAAAACAGGTAGGACAGAATCACTAGAGACTTGACAAGTTCTGGAGTAATTGTTAAAAAACCCGTTCTTGGTACCGAACACTTCACATATAGTTGTAACCAGACCTGTCCTTGGTACTGAACACTTCACATAGTTGTAACTAGACCTGTCCTTGGTACTAAACATGCAACACAGTTGCAACCAGACCTGTCCTTGGTACTCAACACTTCACATAGTTGTATACAGATATATCCTTGGTACTGAACACTTCACATAGTTGTAACCAGAGGTGTCCTTGGTACTGAACACTTTACATAGTTGTATACAGACCTGTCCTTGGTACTGAACACTTCACATAGTCATAACTAGACCTGTCCTTGGTACTCAACACTTTAATAGTCGTGTACAGACCTGTCCTTGTTACTGAACTACTTTACATTAGTTGTAATTAGACCTTTCCTTGGTACTGAACACTTTAATAGTTGTGTACAGACCTGTCCTTGGTACTCAACCTTTCACATAATAATAAACAGACCTGTCCTTGGTACTGAACACTTCACATAGCTGTAAACAAGACATGTCCTTGGTGCTGACACTCACATAATTGTAAACATACCTGTCCTTGGTACTGAACACTTCATATACATGTAGCTGTAAACAGACCTGGTACTGATTACTTTACATAGCTATAAACAGACATGCCCTTGGTACTGAACACTTCACATAGCTGTAAACAGACATGTCCTTGGTGCTGAACACTTCACATAATTGTAAACAGACCTGTCCCTGGTACTGAACACTTCACATAGTTGTAAACAGATCTGTTCTTGGTACTGAGCACTTCACATAGCGAAAAATAGACATGTCCTTGTTACTGAACACTTAACATAGTTAACATAGTTGTGTACAGTCCTGTCCTTGTTACTGAACTCTTTACATAGTTGTAATTAGACCTTTCCTTGGTACTGAAACCTCACATAGTTATGAACAATACCTGTCATTGGCACTGAACACTTCATATAGCTGTAAACAGACCTGTTCTTGGTATTGAACACTTCATATAGCTGTAAACGGACCTGTCCTTGGTACTGAACACTTCACATAGTTGTAAACAGACATGTCCTTGGCACTGAACACTTCACTTAGTTGTAAACAGTCCTGTCCTTGGTACTAAACTCTTCACATAGTTGTAATTAGACCTTTCCTTGGTACTGAAATCTCACATAGATATGAAAAATACCTGTCCTTGGTACTGAACACTTCATATACATGTAGCTGTAAACAGACCTGCTCTTGGTACTGATTACTTTACATAGCTATAAACAGACATGTCCTTGGTACTGAACACTTCTCATAGTTGTAAAAAGACTTGTTCATGGTACTGGAACGCTTCACATAGTTGTAAATAAATCCGTCCTTGGTATTGAACACTTCACATAGCTATATACAGATCTTTCCTTGGCACTGAAAACTTCACATAGTTCTAAACAGAACCACGCTTAATTATGGAAAGTGTATAATTTATAGTTTATAATCCAGGTCAGTTCATCTTCTGAGAGGTGACACCAGGTTCACAAGTCCCTCTACATAGCTAAGAAATGTAATTTTATACAATACAATTCCAGATCACTGTTCTTTCCTTGCTTATCTATGAAATGTTATAGGCCATCCAAAAGAGAGGCATTGAGGAGCTACTACTGACTTCTGATGGAGGTGACATTGGAAGATTGGCGAGGGGTTGCATCCCAGGGGGTAGGAAATATAAGCAACTTCAGTAACTAACCCTTCTCTCCAACATGTACATGTACATGCATGTTTTCACCTTTTATGTCTCATTTTATGTATCAATCTTGGATACTCACCGTATAGCGCTGGTATCCAAGGCAGCCTATGATAGGTACACAAAATACAAACTTTATAGGTCTATATATATATGATAACTACAATGCTTTTCAACAATTGTTTTTTAAAAAATTCCTCTTAAAATTTCATTAAGATTAATTGAAAAAGCTACTTCCATATTCAGTCTGATAAACTTAAGTAATTTTCACAAACTTTGAAAACAAGATAAAAAAAACCTTAGTCCAAGCAAGTCTGCAATGTTGTGCTTCAGTTATTTACTTTTTGATTAAAAATTCATTTCAAACTGTATCTATTTGAGCCTAAACTCTGCAAGTCTGTAACACCTTAGCAATCAAAAACATGCATGTACATGTACACAACTGAATTTACTTACAAAGTATACTAACCATCCCATACATGCAAACACTCTAACTTGCAGTTTTCAGCTTGACTGGTGATGGTGGCACCTTGGTGAAGGCTCAAACACTAAATTGTTCTGCTTCTAGCTCATTTATTCTGTTTGCCCATAGGCTATGGAAAGTCGAGGCATTTGTGAACTTCTGTTCACTTCTGACAATGATTGGGGCTTCAACAAAGGCCGCATCCCTGGTGGTAAGGATTAGATTTTGGCTGATGGTTTCTGCTTGATTTCTCTCTTTTTAGATCAGGCCACACCAAGTAAATTTTATGGATGACGTCCTTTGGAGACCCTAAATCTAATGCGAGAGGGCAAAAAAAAAAAACAAGAAGGGCCCTAAAAACAAGAGGCCTAGATTAGAAAAATACTGAGAGACGACAAATGTTAGGACACAAATTGAATCAGGTGACACAGTGTAACAAGCAAGAGTCTTTTATTCATCATCAAAACAGCAATAAATCAGGTGGAACAGCAGTTGTCGTCCTGTCCTGTCTTCGCGTTACGGGTTTCACGTCAATCTGACGATTTGTGGCACTGTTGTGACACTTTGGTCATAGTTACAGGAAGCGGAATTTCTTGGGTTTTTTTTCTAGGAACAAGCCAAAATCAATGCACGCGTGGACGTCATCCATAAAATTTACTTGGTGTGGCCTCACTAGAAATCTTCAGTTTAGGCCACACCAATTTAATTTGTTGGTTCTCGGATTCGCCTCTTTGTGTTTTTCTGATTTTGAAAAAAAAAAGATTCTTGTTCTGAATCAACCCAAATATGCTCATGTTATGCCCCCAACAGTTGAGGACAGTCCTTTTCTTCCTAGTTGCTACAGTTTTTCTATCTATCAATGCAGTTGTTTGATTAAAAGTTCAAAATTCATTGTTAAAATATCAATGGAGTCTTTTGTGTTGACTTGGTGGCTCCTATCGTAGCATTTGAGGCTATTATAATAATAGGATGCCTAGACCTGTTTTTATTTTTATTTTTTTGCACCCTCATTCGCTTCATATTTTTTCTGAAAAAATCTGAGAACCAACAAATTAAATTGGTATGGCCTTATTTTCTTAATTGCTTTCTGGTCCCTTTCTTGTCTTAAAATGAGTTGTCAGGAAGCAAAGTCTTTTAATTTTTGCTTCTTTCCATCTTTTGTTTTGATACAAGTCACGGTTGATAATGCAAACATCATCAAACAGCCATCTGTGCAGGAAAGGTTACTTGATTGTATATTCTATAACTTAATGATATTAACCATTACTGCAATAATTTTTTCAATTCTTTCACAAAAACAGCGAGAAAAGGAACCAATTCTACAAATCACTGCAACTGTTTAATGCAACCTTAAAATATGTACTAGTAAATGAACATTAAATATGTTCGTGATAATCCATGGTTAGATACAATAACAATGATTGCAGGTGTTATTGTTCAGTATTTGGCCAAATTCATTCAATTACTCGGTTCTCAGATATTCAAGGTGAAAATGAAGGAAGCAGCAGACATAACAAAAGCAGAGGGCTGGTACATGTAGAAAAACTTAATCACATGTAATTCAAATCATGTATTCTCAGACCATAAAAAGTGCATCAAGGCATAAACTTAGCCCTCGTGCTTTGTTTTCAATAGATTTTTTTCCAGTATATAAAAATAATAATTATAATATCAAATATTTTGTAAAAAATCTGAGAACCAACAAATTCAAATGTATGGCCTGAGTGTAACGAATATGACAAATAGGAATTTCCTCTTTGATGTTGTTTTCGTTTAGAGCTGTGTACCTAAACAAATTTTAGGTACAGGTACAGGTACAGGTACACAGGTTTAGGTACAGGTCCGGACCTGAACCTGTACCTGAACAATTCGACCAATTTATATGGTCTTCTGAACTCCTTCAATAACAAAAAAACGTAAATAAACTTGATAGTTAAGGTTTATTCTTTGTTTATGGCGAATGCTCAGATAAAATATAGGCAAAACTAAGTGTTTTGTTTTCATGAACACACTGTCCTTACACAGGGACCCATTGTTAACCACCTTTATACACATTTGAGGTCACAAATAGGCATAAAATTGGTGTGAAATTGTTTAGGTACAGTACCGGTACTGAGGGAGTAGGTATTTTGGACCTGTACCTAATCAATTTTTCCGGTACAGTATCGGTACTGCGTACCGGTACACAGCTCTATTTTCGTTGCTTACCTTTACGTTTCGTTGTTTATAAAACTAAATTTTCTTTTTTCTGTCTTTTATCAAAACAGTGCTGATGACAGCAAACTTCAACTTCAATCCCAAAAAACAGCTGGGTGCTCTCAAAAAGATCCAGGTAACAATGCATTTCTTGAAATGTTTAATATTGACATGTACCTAATTAATATACAGCCTCTCATTATGTGACATTGACTTACATAATATCATATAATATGCTACCAGGTCACATACATGTATATCTTCCACTCTGATAGAAAATTAACTGGTTTCCCCTGAAGTGCCAGATACAGCGTAATGACATGCTCAACAGTACATTACATTATTGTGTTTGCTTGCTGAATGATAGTAAATGTAAATTTGTTAATACATGTATAATAAATAAATAAGAATAGAATTTTAAGTTCTGATATTAGTGATTCTCCAGGATTTGTTCTTATTCTTTTTTTGTGATTTATATTACTTAAATCCTGATACTATTTGAAGGATGTGTTAAACTTTGTGTACAGAAACTGGTGCTGCAAAGGCTGAATAAACCACTCTCTAATTTCTGTCTCTCTGTCTGTCTCTCAGTCTGTCTCTCTGTCTCTCTCTCTCTTTCTCTCTCTCTGTTTCTGTCTCTCTGTCTTTGTCTCTCTTACAACGTATATGGTTGTCTTTTAATCTGGTTCAAATTATCCTCATGCGCCTTTAATCCTCTACATGTGTGTCCAGCCCAATCGTCCCATGATGGTGATGGAGTTTTGGTCAGGCTGGTTTGACCACTGGGGCAGGGACCACCACAAACTACATGTGGAAAGTAAGTCTAACTATACTACCTAAAAACTTTTTCAATGAGCCGTACCGCACTGACAGCATCATATGCAATTTGGATCTCTAGACACGAACCGTGTTGGGATGTAGATGTTCTGTGATTATAGTAATGTTTTACCTTGTATACACACCGTGCAATAACAGTAATTCATGTCGAGCAATACCCCTGACCTACACAGTGCAATAAGCCAAACAACACAAATCGTGCAATATACTCTTTGTAATACTATTGTTTTATTGAAATAATTACTACAGTAATACAGATGCTTTTTTTAAACAATGTTCAATTGATATATAATTAATCCCAGATTTTAAACCTCTTGTTACTAAGTTTGATCAATATAAATGTTATCTAAATGTATGTCATAGTCGCTGTCATTGTTAATGTTGTCCTGCATGCTCGGTCATTACTGGCTGGCATGACCTGGAGTTTTCGTATATTTCTTGTTCATTGAATAAAGAATGATTTACCCTCATGCAAACAATAATAATTATGTCACTGAGTAAAAAGACTCTGTCTTACACGACCAAGTCTTTTATTCAGCGGACGTTTTGGAAGCCATAATCTCGTAACTTTCCTCAGGGCAATTCTGACTGGTTCACATTGCACTGCAGCACAGGTATTGCTGCTATAGATGCATTTCCAAAAGTAAAATACAATTTATTTAGTACATATTTACACATACATTGTATACTTGCACATTTGGGAATGCATCTATTTTCAGTCTAAACTTTTTCATATTCTTTTATTCATTAACATGAAGTTGTTGCTGATTCAGTCTAATATTATGCATCTTTTCACTGGCTCCCTTACTAGAGGTGGTGATAACTTTGAGCATTAATCACTAACAAATATGACAGCTAATACATTTTATGTAAACATCATGTTTTATTCCTCAGAGTTTGAGCAGTTGTTAGGAGACATTCTGAGGCTACGATCTTCTGTCAACTTCTACATGTTCCACGGAGGCACCAACTTTGGCTTCATGAACGGAGCCAACTACATCAATGGGTACAAACCAGATGTCACCAGTTACGGTTAGTGATAGTTAAAAAATTATAAACTACATTTTATTTCAAGTTTCAAGTTGTAATATCTATTAGGAATTGAACTTAGAAAAGAAATTATAGATGTTTATATTTTTGCTGTCATTTCTATACTGCAAACCTGAGAAACTGAACGATTTTTTTAACACCTGATTAAAAATAAAATGAATAAAAAATACACATATTTGAAATTTCTATTTCAGACTATGATGCTCCACTGTCAGAAGCAGGGGATCCAACCCCAAAGTACCACAAAACAAGGGAACTCCTGCAAACACTGGCAATGGAGGGAGCAGGTAGGATACTTGTGTGAGATTTGATGCAATTTCTTACACTTTTCATCCATGTTTAGTAGCATATTTTATTTTGTAGGAAATTGTGACATTTTCCAAATATTTTCAAGGCAAAAAGGAAGTATTTTATTTTGTGTCATACTATATATAATACTAACTGAAGGAAATTGTGGATATTAACTTTTTTTTTAATTTTTACAGTTCCAAGTGAGTTGCCTGATGTTCCACCAGCTACAGAGAAAAGCAGCTATGGTTGGTAGAATCAGATAAACTGGCATCTCTAATAACATAGAAGAATCTTTTTCCTCTTCCAAAACTATATAATTACATAATTACAGTAAATTGTTCATTCACCTCTGAGTCTACTTTGTTTTTGATAACATGATTTCAGGTCCATTTCCTGTTGAAAAATACATCACATTTGAAGATGCCTTAAAGGTGCTGGGGGAGGTAAGTGACTGTATTAAATTGTTATGCTCTAGTTTGGTTTGGTTTCTTACAATTACTAGTCTTCATGGAGTCCACTTAAATATTACATAATTATACAACAACAGAATTATAGAATTAAAAGATTTCTAACATAAACTGAACTCTCTTAATAATAATATAGTGATTACAACCATGCATGTAATTTTCTCTTCTTGCATAGCTCATATACAAGCTCATACAGATTTGCCCTAGTCCACTTTTTGCACTAGGTACTGAATTTGAATATACTCTTTTAACCAAAAATATAGCTGAATTGATAACATCATGTTAATGGAGGTGTCGTGTGGTAGAGTGCTCGACTGAGAACCAAGAAGTCCCGGGTTTGAGTCATGAAATGCCACCCATCTTGTGCCCTTGGGAAAGGCACAACTTTCTTCACTTATATTACATGTATATTAGTCCTGTATTTGTTTCTATATGTGGGACACATATAGATGATGATGATGATGATGTGGGACACAACACCAGCAACAGCTGCATTTGTCCCACGTATATTGTATACTAATTGTTACAATTTCAATACATCAAATCACGTACATGTACATGATGTCATTTGTTCCATAGCCAATCAGTAGTGAGACAGTGATGATAAAATCCAATCCAATCATGTTCTATAGCCAATCAGGAGTGAGAAGGTGATGTCCATGGAGATGCTCCCCATCAACAATGACAACGGGCAGTCGTATGGCTACATCCTGTACAGGCACAAACTTACCCACACACCGGCCACAGAGTCTGTCACTCTCAAGTGTGATGTCAGAGACAGAGCTCAGGTCAGTTTACAGCTTTAAGCTTTCTGATAAACCAGGAAATATAAAAATATACAATTTAAACCATGTTTAAAGTTAAAACTTTTGGTCCAACACTAGAAAAGTTCTCTTACCTAGCACGTTCGACCAGTAACTCTGGTCTTCCTCAGTAGACTGACCCAGTGAGACTTGTCACGTGACTTCTTTGAAGTGTGACGTCAACACCTGGCCAAAGGTATCTGGTATACGAAGTCAGCCCCCGTTGTGGTTCAATAAAGAGTGATGGGCCCTGATGTACATTGTATATGGCTTCCTTCACCTCTCTTAAAATTTAGTTTTGTTCAGTGTCCAAAATCCTTACAGTGTCAAGTGAAACAATTTAAACCAGTTGATCTTATAATAGTACAGAAAAGGACATTTTGCAACTGGTCAATGTCAACTTCCTATAGCAAGCCAGCAAATGGCTGAACATATTGTGCATACGTTGACGGGGTTTTTCTCTTGAAGGTTAAGCTTTCAACCCCTACAATCAACCCCAAGTAAAGTTTGCACATTAAGATGGGATGCATACAAAATACCTATGTCATACTTGGCTAATTATATAAGAATATATTGAGATTGTACAAAATCGCTGTACGTTTTGCACACAGCAAAGACAAAGCTATAAAACAAAGGCCTAGGATTGGCTATAAAGCTAGTAAGTATGGGCCTGTGTCTGATAAACCTGCATTTATTTTGTTCTAAAAATCAAATAGTTTTTCGTCTTTCTACCCTTGCAGATATTTGTGAATGGTAAGGAGTCAGGCATGCTGAACTGGAGAGTTGGAGAGATCACTTTGTCAGGGTTGAAGGTAAAGTTTTCAGTTTCAGTTTATTTATTTCACCAGCAGTAATACTCATAACAACCTGTTTTTCAGGCAATGCTGGGTATACAAAGGACGATTAACAACAAAAGTATGCAATGTTACGATATCACATATGATACAGAATGACATAACAGAAAAATCAAACAAAACAATACAAAATAAACACACTCTTACTAGTCCTTAACCTCCTTAATTTTTGTAGTAGCCATGGAAATATGTTTTTGTAGTACTGTACTGTAAGAAAGTTTGTATTTGAAACAACTCTGTAGCAGAAAAAATGCATATTCATGGTGTCATGTATTTGTGGTGGGAAGGCAATAAATACTAGAACAAAACTGACTATCTGTGTTTTTTGGTTGACCGTGTAATGCACTTATTCTTTACTTCATAACGTTTGACCAGAATCTGATAGACTGAGTGTATAATATTTCGTAAACTCTCTTAAACAGGCATTGAATAGTTTTATCAGATTGGTAAGTCACAGTGAGTAAAGAGACCCTTTCTACACAACCAAGTATTCAGCAGACATTTTGGTGACCCTGTGATTATGAACCAGTCAGAATTACCCTGAGGAAGGTGACAGATGGCCACCAAAACGTCAGCTGAATACAAGACTTGGTTGTGTAGAAAGAGTCTCTTGACTCTCTAAAGCAGGATTCTGTTATTTCAGGAGAACGACATTCTGGACATCCTAGTAGAGAACCAGGGCAGGGTAAACTTTGCCCAGACCATGGACGGAGTCAAGAAGTTTGTGTTGGAGAGTGTGACTGGAGTGAACAGGGGGGATGCACTGTTGGACCAAAGGAAAGGTACAAAATTCTGTGTATTCAATGACATATAAAAGTAAATTAAAAAGGATCACAAAAGTCTCATTTTCTGATATCAGTTTTTCTGCTTCAAGCATAGAAGCCAGTAGAGAACATTTATCTAAATATCATTATGGTAATAAAAAAGTGACTCAAAAATTGTACATTGCATGCAGCTATTATTTTACTATGTAGTGCTTTTAATGGATTTTCTATCTTTATGGCAATGTTTCAATGTATCCTTTGAGACCTGGATCTCAAAAAAGGTTTCCCGTGCACGATGCATAGGTTTGGTGCCTATGTCCATTTCCATGGACCTCAAAGAAATATGATATTTTTCTTGACTTACATGTATGTTACACATTAGATAATTTAAAAAAAACTTTTATTATACTTAATATTATTATACTAAGTGTTTTTTGGTCACAACAAACTATTGACTCTTGACACATTCTATATTTAAGCATTTTGCAGTTTGATTAATTGCATTTTCTATGCTTATACATGTGTGATGTATTCCTTTTGTTTTACACAGGACTTGTAGGAGAGGTACTGCTGAACACTGCCCCACTAGAGACATGGGAAATCTTCCCTCTGGAGCTCAAGCCAGAATTCCAAACAAGGTACAAAATGTAGGCCTGCACATGTACCAGATAGGCCTGTTCAATGAAAATGTTCTTCAAACCAATGGCCAGCTTTGCTTGCACATCCAAAGTTTAACACCACGAACCCAGAATAAACATGTAAAGTGCTATAATTTTGTCAGAACATAGGGTTTTCCATTAAATCAACATGTATTCAGAATTTAAAGGTATCCAATGCAATTTCATAGCAACAAAACAAAAAAAAAAAGAATATTCTGGATGAGGAAATCTGTCTGATGTTGACAGTTACTTTTCTATCTAACCATGTCCATTTTTGAATAATTGCTGAGTGTTTGAAGTAGCCCAGAAACAAACTACATGTCAGTGAGGTGTTTTTATTTCTGGTGAAAATAGGTAGAACCAGCTGAGATACAAATCTTTTCCATCAGTGGCATCACAATTTCTTGCTTCAAACTTCAAAGATATCACTAATGCAGCTATGGAATTGGATTCATTTGAAACTACATTAAAAGAAGGAACAGAAAATTGACTCTGCAAGTCCAGTTTTGCTTCCAGTTAATGCGAAAATAAAAAAAAGACTTAATTCATTGAAGAAGAAAAAAAATATCCGTATTTTCAGGTTAGTGGAGTCACCCAGACTGGAAGGAACTGACTGATGCAGCAGAAATACCCTTCCCATCATTCCATTTGATCAACTTCTCCATCCCCGAAGACCCGAAGGACACATTTCTGGACATGAAGAAGGTGAGAAGGGCTAGTTTTGCAATTTTTCAGAATTTTTTTCAGTAATTTTTTTCAGAAATTTTTGTCAGAAATTTTTTCAGTAAGTTTTTTTCAGAAATTTTTTTCAGAAACTTTTCTGTAATTTTTCAGAAACTTGTCAGGAATTCTTATTAAACATAAGAAAAATGGTTCTCAATTTTTTTTATAATGGTCTCAAAGCATTAAGGGAAAGGGGATGAAGTCTGCCATCCCTGAATGCATGGATTTTGATCTTATGCACAAATATGTTAAATGCTACTTAAATATGTAAATATTAAACATCAGCCAAAATTAATTTAACTGTGTGTTATGTTACAGTGATACATTCTTTTGAATGTATATGTACAGTTATTTTTCATTATTGCACATACATGTAATACTGAAGCTTTAATTAGTGCCTGTTAAAGCTGTACACTTGTTTGGTAGGGTTGGGGGAAGGGTGTGGCAATCTTGAATGGTTTTAATCTGGGGGAGGTACTGGCACATCGGACCTCAGGAGACACTATATGTCCCTGCACCATTCCTCAAGCAAGGAGACAATCAGGTTAAGTTTATCAATATAACTGCTATTTAATTTACTGTAAATCTTCAAATGTTGTTAATATAAATCCCAATACATTACTACCTGCGCTACAATAATTGTAATCATGGCTTCATGTGCAAACTTTAAACATTGTGGAAAACCTCCCCAACATTGTGTAAAATCTATGTGCTTTATAACCCATAAAGTATAAAGTATAAAAGGCTTTATGACACTACTGTAATAAATTTTTTCCACTTTTGTATCATGATCAAGATCAACTACAAACTATACATCTATGTACTGTCAAGAAAGTTCATCGATGTTGGAATTGAAGTTAAAACTTTTGTTCCAACACAAGGATTGTTCTCACTTAGAGCTTTCGACTAGTCACTATGGTCTTCTTCAATAGACTGACCCAGTAAGGCATGTCACATGGCTTCTCTGAAGTGTGACGTCATCACTCGGTCTGGGTCAATGGTATCAGGTAAACGATGCCAGCTCCTGTCACAGTCGATACATCAGATCCACATATTGTTTAAAGTTAAAACTTTTGGTCCAACACTAAAATTCTCTCACCTAGAGCTTTCGACCAGAATTTTTGTGTTGGACCAAAAGTTTTAACTTTAAACATGTAACTACCAACACAGATGAACTATCATGATAGATTCACATATTATATGTGTGTGTTGCTAATATTTCTGCCCCCCTCCCACAGCTCCTGTTGTTTGAGCAGCATGTCCCTTACAAGGAAGTGTTCTTCACGGACACCCCTCGGCTGGGGAAGGAGAAGGAGGTGTCTTGTGTTCCTCTTTAGAAGTAGAGTAAAGGTCACTATTTCATGCTGCCCAGAAGGCCCATTCTGAGACACCTTTAACAAGCACAATCCAAACCAACTGAAAGCAGCCTTTTTCTTGGTATGTGTGGATACTACTCATTACAAGTAGTGGACACTCAAGTAGGTGATTTTTGACAGCTCAGTTCTTAGATGTTTTCCATAATTTCAATATGGACTGGAAATAGTGGTCTGTGCCCACTAATCTTAGACAGTAGGAGCCTGTTTGGATATGGAATTCATCTAGCCTGGATGCCTGCCTTTTTATTTGTAGCACACTTGCTTGATGATTCCCTGCTACCAAATGGTATCAATGGTAATTGATTGTAATGTATGTTACTTGTTTCCAGAAACATATATCTGCATGGGGTGGAGATTTCTGCAGAAATCTGTAGAAATAATCTGATCCCTAGGGCATTATCACTGTTATCTACATGTACATAGTTGTTGTCATCTTCTATGTCACAATATCATGAATATGCAATGTCAATATTGTTCAGGACAAACTATGCTTTAAAAGTGAGAGGTAGTCTGCAATTAGAGTATTTAGAGAATTATAGTGCCCCGCATATTTTGCAGAAGCAAAACAATACTTTAACAAATAAAATTAGTACATATATATTTAATTTATGTTTTGTGAAATATGATGCAAATTTTCCAACTTGAGGCAACTGGACAAAAAAGCAATCAGTGCATATTGCTTTATTGTGAGTATTCAGCAATTTACAATCAGTATTTTAAATTGACAACCAACCCAAGCAGGCAATATCAATAACATGAATAATGATGCCTACTAGGCAACCAGTCGTCACTAATGAAAAGACTGAGTGACAGTAACTTCATCTGTTACGGTAACTTTCTGCCACAGTAACTTTCAGTAACTTTCAAACAGCACTTAAACTACTAGTACTTAAATTACTACTATACTACCGAATACTCAGGTGTTCGTTACACCACTTTCAAATAAGGCTGAAATTCGGCCTAATGAAAAAAGTCTGAATGACAGTAACTTCATCTTTTACGGTAACTTTCTGCCACAGTAACTTTCAGTAACTTTCAAACAGCACTTAAACTTCTACTCCAATCACATTTTGCTGCTATCTCATGAACTTCTGTAATCATAGCCATCCCATATACTTATTTCATTGTAAGAGAAGAGACTGTTCACTGACTAACACACAACGAGTAGACAACTACTTACTTTCAATACTACGCACACCACTTACTTTCAAATAAGGCTTAATGAAAAGTCTGAATGACAGTAACTTCATCTGTTACGGTAACTTTCTGCCACAGTAACTTTCAGTAACTTTCAAACAGCATTTAAACTGCTACTTCTAAAACATATTTCTGATATCTTATGGACTTCTGAAATCATAGCCATTCCTTACTTATTTCATTGTAAGATAAGACTATGCACAGACTAACAAACAACGAGTAGACGACTATCTTGGCACACCATATTTTTTGTCAATATTCTGTTACGTAACGTCCACCACGTGTTCTAAGAATTAATCTTTAGTTGTTACAATAGCACTTTCAATGGTCTGTCTAGTTATAAAATACTCAGGTGTACGGTACACCACTAACTTTCAAATAAGGCTAAAATTCGGCCAGTTACATTGTATACTGGATAAACCATTACTATTGTTTTAATCCACTAAGATCAGAGATACGAAGCATGTTATCATAGAATAATATTGTCAACATTTTCTTCAAACAGCACTAGTGCCGTTACATGTTTGCAGCTAACACACACAAGTGTGCACATTGATTAAATTTATTAATTTGCATTAAAGTTATAATGATCAACAACGTTAACCACAGTCACATGAGTACAAACGACCAATTCAATAATACATCGTGTACTGATATGCTGACCCCAACAAGATTCATTTTAACCTATTCACCGGGCTTTTTTGGGCATGCTCAGACCGTGGCGAGGGGGGGTGCTTTTGAGGCCGCCCCCTGTAACTCAACAACCATTTTATTTATCGTAGGGCCACTAAATCTTTAGAGAATGATGTAGTAATAAAATTTATTTACCTAATTAAAACATAAAACCTAGAAAAATTTTATGTTTGAGCCAAAATTACTGATTTTTTAAAAAAGTGCCTGTCAGAAACCCGTTTCCATTGCAACACGAAAAATCAGGAACTTATCTAATTAACATGAAATTGTTGCCAAATATTTTTAGGAGGTCACTACATTTGACGGTTCTAGCGCAAGCCGTTCGGTTGCTATCCGAGATGAAAGTTGGCGCGGGCCTCAAAAGCCTTAAGAAAACGCAGATGGTTGTTAATGGTATTTAGTGGTTACTAAGAACTTGACAAGAAAGATGCAGGTCAAGTTTGATAATGAGCCTCCTAGTGGCTGTTTTGGGTATTGCAGCGGCGCTTCAGTGTTTGAGGTAAAATTTTCCGAAAGTGTATGATTTTTACGTAATTAAAATCTTTTGGAGTACGTGGTGTAATTTTTCATGTTATGGTATTTGCCATATTGTGCAATGCAGTGCTAGGCTCCGTGCAGTAGCATTTGCGGGGGGAAGATTGTCACAGTAGAGATGTATACATTCGTTACCACCAAATCCCCCTTAGGTCCCAAGGCGATAGCCCATGGGTTCTTAATGTTAACTGCGGTGCGGATAAACTCCCCGCGGCTTGTGTACATGTCAACCCGCGAGTTTGTCGCGTCTGCCACAAAGATTTGACCTCTTCTGTTCGTACAAATGCCTTTTGGACTGCCGAATGTACGGAAGGTGAAAAGCAAATCTCCCGAGTTATTATACACGTAGACTTTTGAATATAAATAGTCAGTAATAAAGATGTTTCCCTCCCTTCCTGTTGTGACGTATTTCATATTGACATTGTCCTTGCCGAAACTTCTGTCAAACGAGCCGTTGGGTTGATATATTGAGATTTTGTCTAAAGCTAAGACGATGATTTTGTTGTTTCGTTCGTCAATCGCGATTTTTGGGGACACGGCATGCCGCTGAATGTCAATCTGACTCAATGGCTGGCCATCGCGACTGTACTGAACCACGTAAACGTCGCTTAGACTCGAATCGGTTGATTTCCCCACTACCCACGCATGTCTATCTTTATCAACGTCAACGTCATGAGGGTACATTATTTGGTCTTTTTTACCCGGCATTATGGTTGGAAAGAGACGGAGAGAGACCCCATTCTTGTTAAAGACTTGGACTCGCTTGTTCCTGATTTCACTGACGAATATCTCATTGTCGGCAGACACGGCCACTCCAGCGGCTGACCTAAGTTTTCCCGGTTCCTTCCCATACCCACCAAACACAGTCTTCTCTGGTTTGACGTTTCCGGAAGAGTACTCTGCAACAACAAGTCATTGATACCTAGACTTTAATTGTGAGGGGTTGGGTTGCTGCCCTTCGAATTCTGGCACTACTTTTCTTATAATCCCTAATGAATTATGGTTTTTGACTGTAGCATGGAACTATACACACAGATAACACCCAGTTATAACAAACTTAGAAATACTGTTCAAAAATGTTCCTCAGAAGATTTCAGTAAATCACAACCAAATATGCCTATGGAGACGGCGTCACTGTCTTTAATCTTTGTACAATATTAAGTACAGTTACCTTGTAAGCTGATGGTGGTGGGCGGCAGTGTAAGGCGCGGTGTGCTGTGGGAGGTTGATGTCAGTGTGGCACCCTCTGAGCTCCAGCCAGTACGGTCTAATGGCACTGTTGGTCCAGTAGTGACAGTGCGAACCTGCCAAAAATGGTAAAACTAGCAATGAATAATAGTAAAAGCAGCTACTATATAATCGCGTTACCAGTGTTTGAGGTATAATATTCCACTTAGACGGCGCTCTGACGGCGCTCTCTCTGCGACCTGAAATTGGCCAGCGCGCGATGAGAGCGCCATGAGCGCCGTCACATCGGTGACTGTATGGAAGCGGTTCATTATCTTTTTTTCGCTTTTTTGAGCACAAATATTAATGTAGCTGCTGTTTGATTACCCTGGTTGCCACACTAGTATCGGGCCGTTAGCCCTTTTCCTGCGGCAGCCATAAGCTCTTCGCCCGCCTAAATTACCGCTACGGACCCGGGGAATCGAGTTTGGCCGGCCGTACATAGAGTCTAGTGTAGGGCCGGCCAAACTCCCCCCGGGATCGACTCCCCGGGTCCCGTAGCGGTACTTAAAACAGGCGGGCGAAGGGCTTCTGGCTGCCGAAAGAAAACACAGCTAACACCCAGTTTGATAGAAAATCAACTCACCGTGGGTTTGGACATGAGATCAGGCACAGTCGTCAGTCCAGAACTGCTGCAGGTACTTTGACCAGCCGAGTTGGGGGTGTTCATGGATTGTGTCGGCTGTAGGGGATAGATAATATTGTCGTAAGGTGTTGTTTCAGAAATGGAACTCATTAATATGATTTAGGTCCATCATCCTATAACTATTTGAAATAGCTGGAGAAAAAAAGCAAGTAGAAGATGCACAAAAGATTTACCTTGTGACTATCCTGCACGTTGGGGTTAAAGTATAACCCGATGAAGATTCCACTGATGATCAAAATCATCAGAACAACGGCAGTAATGGCTGCAGCAACCATCCAACGAGATCTGCACACTGGAACATTATATCTATTATTAACATTTTAAAGTGAACCAAACAACGAACTCAATGGTGTTAAAATTAATTTCATTTTGAATGAAAGTTTGTTGTACGTTTGTGCTCTAACAAGCTAGGTACAGGTCATGAATAAACAGGGAAAAAGAATACAGCAATAACACTTAACATACTAATGTGATCTACTATTTTAAAGGTTCAACTTCTTGTCGCTTCTTAAGGCAGTTATACATGGATGAAATATGAACTGAAAATGATAATGAATGCCCTTGTTCAAATAGTGGGAACTTGGTTTACAGAATCAGCATTAAGTTACATAATCACTGTAAACCTCTGTGTTAAACAAGGGATTCTATTTCGCAACACACACACACAAACACACACAAACCTTCATACTAACACAAACACACACACACACAAACACACAAACAAACACACACACAAACACACACAAACACGCACACATGCATACAAAGTTGACGATAAGAATGTTTTGAAAAGGAAACATCTCTCACTTGAGCCACCTTCTTGGTCAGCATTCGGGATCGCATCCGGTGCGTCCTGGGTGTCCTCCGGATCCGGAGCGTCTGGCGAGAACGACGGATTCCGGATCACTGTGTTTTGCATGGTGGTCCGCCCGAGTGCCACCGGTGAGAGTTTCTTTACCGCTGCAGCATCGCCTTTCACAGACCTAACATCAACACTATCCTCCTTCTCCTCTCTATCTCCATGGTATGTGAGAATGTCTGTGGCGACTTCTGAGATCACATCGTAGAGTGCTTCGGCCATGATCGTAGATGTGATTCGTTTGTTAGGTGCTGATGATTTTGGGTTGCGAGGATGTGGTCACACCAGCCACACGGTAGATTTTCCTCTTCTGTTCAAACTTTAGACTCATTAGTTCGGGCATGATATTCCAGCCCCTAATTGATTACAATACAAAACACTGACATATTTGTAATTACTATAAGGAAATGAAATGTTTGTTTCATAGCACAATATTTCCAATCATTTGTCATAAATGATGGAAAACATTTCCTTCTCAATTATTGAGACAGGAAATAATTGACGAACATGTACATTTGTACACCCACGTGCACATCCATGAGACCGCCTTGCAACGTGACAAGAAAGCAATCAGAGCATACTGTTTTACTCTGAATATTCCACAGTCAACAATCAGCCCACACAGGCAATACCAAAGTAGAAACAAGAATTCGGAGATCTCATACCTCCGTGAAATATATGAGTTTTTGTAAATGTTTTTACACAGTATACTACAGTACAGA